GTGTGTGTGTGTGTGTGTGTGTGTGTGTGTGTGTGTGTGTGTGTGTGACAAAAGTAAAAAGACAACTTTTGGGAATCTGTTCCCTCCTTCCACCTTACTGAATAACATCTCTCCTTCCTTCCTTCCTTCCTTCCTTCCTTCCTTCCTTCCTTCCTTCCTTCCTTCCTTCCTTTTCTCCTTCTCTCCCTCCCTCCCTCCTTCCTTATTCTTTCTTTCCCTCTTCTTGTTTTCTTTTTGAACTAATTATACAGTACAGGATGACCTTGACTCCTGATTCTTCTGCCTCCACCTCCCCAGGCTTATAGAGTACACCAACCCATCTGATTATGAGGTGTTGGGGATAGAACTTGGGGCCCTGTGCATGCTAAGCAAGCATTCTACAAACTGAATTACATTCCTAGCCCCTGGCATTGCTATCTGAAAAAAAAAATATTGTGTGCTTACATGTGCATGCACACGCCATACCACATGTGTGTGGGATCTGAGAACAATTCCTTCCCCCACGTGGGTCCCAGGGATTGAATTCAGGTCACTAGGCTTGGCAGCGGGCACCTTTCCCTGATGACTTGTCTCGCCAGCCCCGGCCTTACTTTTGAGACAATACTTCTCACGGGCCTGGAGCTTATCCAGTAGGCCAAGGCCAGGGTCTTCCTGTCCCTAGCTCCCAGGAACATGCACACTGTCTGGTTCTTACAGACGGGCTCTGGGATTGAACAAAAGACCTCATGCTTGAAAGACAAACGCTTTACTGACTGAGACGTCTCCTCAGCGACACTGCCCCTCCGATCAACTCAAACCCTCCCAGTACCAACCTGGTGCGTCATTCTATATTCTGTCCCGTTTCCCTTCTAAGAAGAGGAATGCTTGCATTGCTCTATGGGGACAGACGGGGTGAGGAGTCCCTGTGGGCGACGAAGCTGGCGTGTATCTTGATTGCGATGGAGGTCATGCATGTGGTATGTGTTAACATTCACAGGATCATGCACTAAGGAAAAATCAATTCTACTGGCACATCCATTGAGAAAATAAATTTTAAAAAGTGAGAGAATCGATGGCTGCAGCCCACTAAATTGATTCTATAACCGCTTTGGGTTCTAGGCTCCAGCATGAAAATCCCCGCCCTGGCATGTCCTTGATGGGGTTGGGGGATGGGGTGGGGAAATCACAGGAAGATGGGACAGTCAGCCAAGGCCCCGGCTGCCCCTTGAAGCAGAGGTCAAGGGATGGGGGCTTCACATTGTGACCTGCTTCTCTCTCTTGCACAGCCGCTTTCTGCCATGGACAGTCCTGGAGGAATGACCCAGGTAAGGAAGATCGTGAGAAGGGACGTGAGGCAGGGAGGGAGCAAGACAGCCGGCTTTGTGGGCTCTAAGAGGACCTGCCTGTTGAAAAGAAAGCTGCCTCCTCCAGCAATGCAAACTCCACCTCCTGCAAACACAAAGACATCAGCCGTGCCAGCACGCGTACATGTGTTGCCCTGTGAAGCACACGAATTCTAGCTAGCGCGCCCCCCACCCCATTCTGTGGGCAGGAAACATACCCACCCACAAATGTACCTCACAAAGCCTTGCTTCCTCTCTGGTCCTCCGTCATGGACACTTGCAGATAGGCTGTGAGAAAGGTTGTGTCAGATTGCAGAGAGCAGAGGGCCTCCACCTCAGTCTTAGAAGCCGCTGTTTCCCAAAGGGTGGGGCCACACGGCATCTCCTCCTGGAGACCGACCGTGTGCACCGGCTTAGTGAGGCTCTGAGAAGTCTGCAGTACAAAACTGTTGATTTAGTTCTCCATGCCAGGCGTGAACCCCAGGCCTTGCACGTGCGAGGCGAGTGCTCTACACTGAGCTACGCTCCCAGCCCTAAACATCTTTTAAGTTGACAGTCTCCATATTCATTGCACCACAGTCCCATCGCCACATTAACCTGGATAACACTGTGCTGAGTTTCTCTGGAGAGAGAGGATGCCCCAGATCAGGTTCTAATAAGTCACTTGCTGTCTGAGCCTCGCTTGCCCACCTACGGAGAAGAAAATCTCTCCCTTTGGGGGACTTTTGGGGTGCTCACCAAGCCAGGAGCCCATGAAGTATCTGCAATGGTTAGATGTAGGACCAGTCCTCGGCACCCAGCTAGCCCGGTGACCTCAGTCAGCCACGGCCCTGCTCTCTGTGCTTTACACATCCCCATGGGCAGGAAAGAAGAGGCAGTAGCCCTAAGCCAAGGAAGTGTCTGGGAAAGTCTTTTCATTTTTAAATGTGTGTCTTGAATGAGTAATACCTCTGCTCAGCTCAAAGCTTCCTATGACAAGAACTGCTGCTGCTTTCATTTGTGTCTCTTCTCATCTGTTCTGTTTACTCGTTTTACATATCCTCACACACAGAGAGAGACAGAGAAACAGACAGACAGACACAAAGACACAGAGACACAGAGAGAGAGACACAGAACACACTATTTGTGGCTTCAACCAAGAGAAGATGAAAGATGAGGACAGGATTTGCGGAGATGGCTCAGTGTGTAAAATGCTTGCCTTGCAAGCATGCGGACCTGAGTTGATCTCAGAACTTGAGAGAAAAAAAAAAAATCCAGACATCGTGGCATGCCCCTGTATTCCATATACTGTGGAGGCGAAGGCAAGCAGGCCCCTGAGACTCACTGGCCAGCTTAGCCTATTAAGCTCCAGGCCACTGGGAAATACTGTCTCAAAAAATTCGGACAGTGCCTGAGGGACAGCACGCACACGCACCACATAAAAAAATGCAGCTAGGCCTACCTCTCCTGGATGCCTTTCTTGTTGAGGTCCCTAAACAGTACAGAATCACAACCATGTACGTAGTTTTGCATTGTGTTAGAATTCTGAAAAACCTCGAGGGGACAGCGTACGTACAAAGGATGTGTGGAGGTCAGATGCAGACACTTGGCCATCTGGCTTGTTGTAGGGTTGGGGGTGGAACTCAGGGCCTTGAGTATATTAAACACATACTCTAGCGCTGAGCTACATCTCCTGCCCCATCCCATTTTGAAGGGGTGGGGACTGGCTTGTTTGCTACTTAGTTAGTTAGTTAGTTAGTTAGTTAGTTAGTTAGTTAGTTAGTTAGTTAGTTGGAGAGGTGTGTGGCCCAGACTGGCCTCAAACACACTGAGAGTGACTTTGAACTCATGATCCTTCATCTTTCATTCACTTGGGTGCTAGGATGATAGGCATGTGTCACCTCGCCTGGTCCTAGACCATTTTATGGGAGGAACTTAAGCATCTGTGGATTCTAACAACTGCAGGGGTCCTAGAAGCTTCTTTCCATGGGCAGTGAGGGGCACCTCTATATATTATCTATATTATCTATTCCTCTCCCCATTGTGGAGCTTTGTAAACTCACAAAGCAGCAAACCTGCCTATAATCCCTGCCTAGGAATTTCACTGTAAGGTGTTTACTCAAGAGAAATGGAAATGTGAGCCCACACGCCTGCCTGCGCATGTAAATTTATAAACAGTTTGATACATGGGCGGCAAATCCCCAAACAACCCACATGACACATAGAAAAGAAATGGGGGAAATTCACACAGAATAAAATATTATTCTGAAGTTTAAAAATAGGGGGTGCACAAACTACTGATCTACGCAGGAACACACATAAACCTCAAATATATGTAGAGGGCAAGAGGCCATAGCAAACGATGCTCTGTGATTCAATTCAATTATGTGAGCCTGGAGAGGAGTGAGGACTAATCTCTCACGGCAGAAAGCAGGGCAGTCCTTGCCTGAGGCTGGAGCTAGGGAAATGAACTGGCTGTTGAGGAACACGCCGGAAGTGTCCAGATGATGGACAGGCTCTGTATCTAGATCACAGAATGTGCTTGTAGATGTTTGTCAACTCCCACCAGACAGAACCCTTAAAATGAGTGTATTTCACTGGGTGAAAATCGTGCCTCTATGAAATTGAGTTTTGATGTTTTGTTTTGTTTTGTTTTGTTTTGTCTCCCTACCGCAGGCTATCCTCAAGCTCGGTATAGAGCTGAGCTTGGTATAGAGCTGAGGATGACCTTAAACTCCTACTTCTTCCTCCACTGCCAAGGCCCTGGGCTTGCAGACATGTACCACCACACCCAGATGATACAACTGATTTTAAAAGCTAAGACAAAAAGAACTTGGGAGAAAGAGCTGGGGAGATGGCTCAGTCCAGTAAAGTGCTTGAACACGAGGACCTGAGTTCAATCCTCAGAGCCCACATTAAAAAAAAAAAACAACAAAACCACAAGGTGATGGTATACACCTTTAGTCCCAGCGCTCAGAAGCAGAGGCAAGCATATCTCTGTGAGTTTGAGGCCAGCTTGGTCTACAGAGTGAATCCCAGGACAGCCAGGGCTACACAGAGAAACCATGCATTAAAAAAAAAAAAAAAAAAAGCAGGGCATGTTGGCACCTTGTAGTCCTGTGCTAGGAGGAAGAGATGGGCAGATCCCTAGGGCTTCCTGGCCAGCAGGCCTAGCTAAAATGGTAAGTCCAAGTCCTAGTGAGAGACCATGTGTCAAAAAAGATGGACAGCTAGCTCCTGAGGAAGGACACTCAAGATTGACCCCAACCCTGACACACATATGCACACATTCAAACACACATCTGCATGCACACACACAGAGACACCAGACAGACATCAGGCAACTCCTCAGGCCTATTGAAAAAAACTTCCAAGTTTGAGGGGATTTTGTTGGATAGAAGGTACTGGAAACATCCTGTCTACGGCCCCAAGGTTTCCTCTAGCTCGAAACGTGAGCCACAGCATGGGCCAACACAGTGCCTGCCTGGGGTTCTAAGAAGCCTCTGTCATGCCCTAAAAGGGGGGAGAAGAAGAAGAGCTGAGCTCTTCCTCCATCCCTTGATATCTCCCATTACCTCTTTTGACCCCCAGATCACCAGGTGACACTAAGTGGCTCCAACTCCAAGTGTCAAGGTCAACTGTCGCTCCAGCAAGCAAACCTGAGGTATACCGTGTGCAGTTCCAGTTGGCAGTGGAGCCAGGACCGCTGGAGAAAACCCCATGAGGCCTCTGTAGTGTGCAAGCAGCTGGGATGTGGTGATCCCTTGGCCCTCGGCAGTTTCTTTTTCTCGAGCACACCCCAGAAACAGGTCATCTGCCATGGACCCCTGTTGTCTTTCTCCAACTGCAGCAAAAATCCACCAGCCAGGTGTCTTCCCCTGAGCCTGATCTGCCAAGGTGGGTGATGCTATGTGACTGAGTCCTGGATGGGAAGGGGCTTCACAGTTACAGTGCCCTAACCACAGACAGGTGAGGGGACTGGCTGGCTCGGGTAAGCCAAAGGGTACTGCATCCATCTGGCAGGATTGAAAAGCAGGACCTGGCTCTGCCAAATGCCACCCTTAGCTGTCCTTTGAGCCTCCAGTTTCCTGTCTGTGATGTGGGGGACTGCCACTTCCCAGGGAGTTGAGAGGCAGCATTGGAGATGTAGGGGTCAAGTCAGCTTATTGACAAGTGGCACTAAGGGCAAGAGCCCAGGGTTTGACGTTGCCACCCCCAGCTCCCCTCCTTCCCTCCACTCCCCACTTCCCGCCCTTGTCTGTGTGTTTCACTGCAGAGCCCCAGAAGACAACACCTCCACCCACAACCACCCCACCCACCACCATTCCGGAGCCCACAGGTAAGAGGGTTCTCGGGCATTATGGAGGGAAGGAGAGAGAAAGGACTGATGCACCCTGCACTCTCGAACTCTGAGGAGCTGTGGTTACCTGCACAAGATTAGGCCCATCAACACTCTTTAATGGAGGGAGGAGGGATTCATGAGACCTTTCCCCTCCCTGAGGAAATATAGGCAGTTAGTGGGGGTGCAGAGAGACATTTTATTCAGTGCTGTAGCCACTGCTAAGGTGCCCATGTTTCTGTAAATAAGCCCTAATTAAATTCATTGAATCACCAAAACAAACAACAGCCAAGAGGAGGCCTCCTTACAACTAAATTTTAGTAGAAAAGATTCAGGTGTGTCCTATGCAACGTTTGGGACCCTCACCTCCCAAGCATCCATCTGTTGGGGCTCAGCAACAAGGCATTCTGGGAGTTATCCACACTCAGGCATGCCTTCCGCTTCTAGCTCCTCCCAGATTGCAGCTGGTGCCAGGTCACGAGGACCTGAGGTGCGCAGGTGTGGTGGAATTCTACAATGGCAGCCGGGGTGGCTCCATCCTCTACAAAGCCAAGGACAGGCCCCTGGGCCTGGGGAACCTCATCTGTAATGCTCTACAGTGTGGATCTTTCTTGACACATCTGTCGGGGCCGGAGGCAGCAGGAACAGCAGCTCCTGGAGAACTGAGTGAACTCAGGCCCTTGCCAATTCGATGGGAGGCCCAGAACTCGAGCTGTTCCTCACTGCAAAAGTGCTTCCAGAAAACGATGCCCCAGGAGGGTGGTCAGGCACTCGAAATCATCTGCTCCGGTAAGCCATCTGTTGCCTTAGAGTGAGGACATGGGGCCCCCTGATCAGATGCTCAAGTTTTATGAGAGGGCCAATAGGGATAAAAGGAAGTGAAGGCCTGAGCCCATGGCCTCTAAAAGACAGGACAAGTTAGATGAGGTAGTGTCTCAGGCATCTACAAAGCAACTCCTGCTCAGGCCAAAGGAGCTACCATCTGGAGAAGTGAAGGCAGCTGGGATCCCAGCAGGAAGAGGAGAAAAGGAAACTGAGGCATGCGGAAAGGCCTGGGGGCAATTAGAGGGGTAGCCTTTGCCAATGGGAAGTTTTCAAATCTTCAGAAAGGAGGCTGGAGGGATGGTAAGGTGTGTGTGTGGGGGGGGGGGGTGTCCCTAAGGCCTGGCTCAAAGCACAGCTATAGAGGCAGCCCCTAAAAGGATGCTCTGTATGGGCCCTGAGCAGGACTGATGTAGCTGAAGAAAAGAGAGAGGGAAAGTGTGGGACTTTATGGGGCCAAACCAGAATCAGTACAGACTGGAAGAAAGCACAGTTCAAAGCAAGACAGAATAACCACCAAGCCTGGAAAGAGAGGGTCCACATCACTGCAAGTGCCCAGGTGCATTCTTGGTTCTGCTCCCAGCACACTACTTGGTGCTGACATCCTTGGTTTTAGAGAGTTGGGGGGAAGGGGAAGAGTATTATTACCCTCTTCTTCGATGGGGAAGCCAGGACTCAGAGAAGCTCAACTTCCCCTCAGTATCACAGAGTACTAGCTGAGATTTGCCCTCAAGCAGTGTCAATTCAGAACCCATTTTCTAAGCCTGTACTACTCAAGGTGTGGTCCTAGACAGGCAGCATCAGTGTCACCTGGAGACAGTCTCACCCCTCTCCACACTCCTAACCCCTGCTGGTTTCAGCAGGTCCCCAGGATTCCTACACAAATATAGGATGCATGGCTCTGAACTATAAGCTCTACAAGCAGGACAGCCTACTCCATCGGAGACCTCATATAAATTCATCTTCCGGGCAGAAGCAGCCCCAAGATTCTCTGGGCCACATGAGAGGCTCACGGCTGGCTTCAGCCCCACCTACTCTTCAGCTATGAACCCTCAAGCTCTTATGCAGGCTACAACCTGTAAAGCCAGGCCCAAGGCCTTGCTTTGAAGTTTCTTCTAAGTAGAAGATTCACTAGGGCTTTGAAGGTGGGTGTTGCCATGGAAACTAGCCATAGCTGGTGAGCTCACTATTGACTCTAAATCAAGCATAGTAGCTTCTGCCACAGATTCCCAAGCCCCACCCTGATTAGCAGGCATGAATACCTGTTTCTAGGTACCCGACCTCATTGCAAAAGCCTAATCCACAGGGTTGCAGGCCCAGGCAGCAAAATTCCTGGGTTCTGTCCTACCAGTGAAGTACACCAGCTTTTTCCATCTTCAGGCCTCAGTTTTTTTCCTTCTAAAAAGCCCTCCCTCTTTCCAAGGAATATCAAGAGAGTAAGAAGGCATGGCTGCCCTACCAGCTCCTTTGCCATTGATGTCTTGAGATAGCCACCACCAGCCACCCAGAGGTCCAGGGACCAGAGATTGGTTGGGGAAGTACTGGAAAGGATGTTAGGAGGGCTGTTGAGGAGGACAGCACCTACCCTGGAGTGCTCAGCACTGCCAAGGGTCCCAGGTCAAGCCTACTGCCTCATCATCACTTCCCCTCTGCAGATTTCCAGCCCAAGGTTCAGAGCCGCCTGGTGGGTGGCAGCAGTGTGTGTGAGGGAATCGCTGAGGTGCGCCAAGGATCACAGTGGGCCGTCCTGTGCGACAGTTCTGCGGCCAGGGGTCGGGCACGGTGGGAAGAGCTATGTCAGGAGCAGCAGTGTGGCGGCCTCATCTCCTTCCACGTGCTGGATGCTGACAGGACCTCCGCTGGGCTCCTCTGCGCCCGGGAGAAGCTATCTCAGTGTTACCAGCTTCAGAAAAAAAACAACTGCAAGAGGGTGTTCGTCACATGTGAGTTGACTGTGGCCCTCAGTGGGTGGAGGGCTGTTAAAGACTTTTCCTCTGAGGCCTAGTCAGTGAGCATATCTCTAAAGAACAGATCTGAAAGGTAGATAAAAGTCCTGGAAAGGGGACAGTAAACAGGGTTCAAGGATCAGAGAGCAGTGATGGGTAGAACAGGCAAGACCCATGCGGATCATTGACAGGCCGCTGGCAGATGTCAGAGCTCTCCCTCGCCTTCTGTCTCCTGTTCTCCCAGGATGCAAGCTCCAAAATCAGGGCTGGATGGAACATATTTTACTATATGAATGGTAATTAATTAATGGGTAAAAGAAGATGGATACATGGATAGGTGAAAGGAATGGGAGGTGGGTGGATGGATGGATGGATGGATGGATGGATGGATGGATGGATGGATGGATGAGTAGACAGATGATTATATTAACAGATGGATGGGTCAGTGGATAAAGAGATAGATAGATAGATAGATAGATAGATAGATAGATAGATAGATAGATAGATAGATAGACAGATGACTTCACAATCAGATGAATTGATGGGTCAGTGGTTAGGTGGATGGATAGACAGTTGATAGATAACAAGCAGATAGATGTGTGGGTGAATAGATGACTTGGATGGATGGATGGATGGATGGATGGATGGATGACAGATCGCTGATTGAATGAACAGAAGGCTGGCTGGCTCTTGATATGAGGTCCTGTATGGTCATCTTCCTGATGTAGATAATGGGAAGTTGATTAGCCTAAGTAGTAAAGATAGAAAGTTAACACCTGATAACAAGAATGGCAAATCGTATCTGAATGCTCACTGAAGGAGACAAACGAATGGATAGCAAAGATTCTTAGAGAGGGCCAGAGAGACGGCCAAACAGACAACTCCCCTCTGAACAAACTGGTGTGTGGGTAAGAGGTGCCACGGTACCAGGGAAATCAGGCAGTCACTGCCCTCTGAGTCACTCCCTAGGGCTGGGACTCATTTAAGACTCCCCTTGTCCAGGCCAAGATCCAAACCCAAAAGGCATGGCTCCAGGCACCGTGGCAAGCATCATCCTGTCTCTTATACTCCTGCTGGTGCTGCTGGTCATGTGTGGGCCTCTGGTCTACAAGAAGCTGGTGAAGAAGTGTAGGTGCCAAACCCCAAGCCTTCTTTCCTTACCACCCAAATCCCTCTGCTGCCCACTGGCCATTTCTACCTACAGTATTAGAAAGTCAGGACAAAGTGTACCCTCTGATTCTCCCTTGTCTGGATTTGGCAAAGGCCATGGCTGCATGACATCAGCACAACCTTTGATATCACAAGATGTGGCCCAAGACCAACTCTACAGCTACCAAAGACACTGACTGTACTGCTGCCTTCATTTGAGCCTCGGTTTCCCCGTTTATTAAATGGACAGGTGGATACTTTATGAATGAGGAAGTTTGCCTGCCTGCTCTTGCAGACCTTAGAGAAATTGCCCACAGGCAATGAAAGAACAGAGCAGCAGTTTTGGGGCCTTCCTGCCCTCTGGGGTTATCCTTTATGGTTCTAAATAAACCCTGTGATCATTTCTGCAGGTCCCAAAGGCTTCAATTCCCCACCCCCAGTCAGTTAGGAAATGAGGCAGCAGAAGGCCTGGAGCTGTGGCCCCCATCAGTCCTGCCTTCAGGGTATCTGTGCCTCCCCTTCCTCCCCACCCCTCCTCTCCTTTGCCACCATCTGGTCTCACGAGCTTCCTGTCTGTTGTCTAGTCCGGCAGAAGAAGCAACATCAGTGGATTGGTCCCACAGGAGTGAACCAGAGCAGTAAGTGTCCCCAGAGATGGGTGTTCCTCAGCCCCAGGACTCAGGCCACTGAGGCAGAGTCAAGGTCTCTGCTGATCACAGCAAAGCAGCGGCTGCTACAGCCTCAGATCTCCACCACATTTCACTAAGGTGTGACTGTGGCCAACAGATGTCCCCACACCAGAGAAGGCTGAGGCTTCTTCTAGGGGCAAGTGGCTCCATGCCTTTGGCCTCTTGAGCCCCAGACACCATGGTATCTCTGCTGTCTCTTGCCTTGTGGTTGACTTAAGCAGAGGTCCCCACAGCCCTCATCCCCGCCCCCCAGGGTAGCCTTCCCCAACTTGATGACCCACCGTCAAACAGGGCTAAGCAAAGCTATGCAGTTCTTCAGGACTTATCAGAACCTTCCGTACGGCTCCTCTTCAAGGCAGGAAGGCATGACAAAGGATGGGCCCAGGTAGTTTTAGCACAGGACAACTTCAGAGGGCCAGTTTTAGAATTCCCTGATCCTGCCAGCCCTCCCCCTCCCCTAGCCCTCATTCTCTCTCCTAGCCACATTCAGAGCTACACTAATGGATGGCAGCACACGCTCTGTTTCTCTCCCTTTTCTATGCCCAGGCTCTTTCTAGAAGGTTCTCTGTTGTGTTTGTTTAAAAACATAAAGGCCCTCAGCTCCTGGTGGGTATGATGTACATCTCCCTAGCACCTGTGTTCCAGCTGCCCGCTGGGTAAAAGCGTGAGGTCTGACAGAGCAACTGCAGGCCTCACCTGGCCAATCAGACTGCTCTGTAAATCTGAGGCTGATCCCCGCTGCCATGAATCTCTGCAGAGAGAAAGGAAGGGGAAATGTACCTTCCCTCTCCCATGACCTAATGGAAGCAGGAAGCTAAGCTAAGGGACCTTGCTTTGGGCAGAAAGCACATCGATTCTAACAATGCCACTGGCCTCCTGTGTCTGCTTAGTGTCTTTCCATCGAAGCCACACAGCAACTGTACGGTCCCAGGTCGAAAACCCAACATCCCTTCACGTGGACAATGACTATAGCCAACCTCCCAGGAACTCCAACCTGTCTGCTTATCCAGGTGAGCAGCAGGGGGCTGCTGGGCAGGAGGAGGGGCACACATGCTGGCTGCTGACCTTGAAGTTTTGTGCTTTTCCAAAGAAGGAAAGGGAGGCTCCAGGGGGTGGAGGATGAAACTGCCTGCTTGACAGCTGGCCCCAGCAGGGAAGTGGCAGGAATGCGGCCTTCATAGGATTCATCTCTGCTGTCCCTTGGAGACCTTGAAACACTCATCTAGAGAGAAGAATGCAGTTGGATGGATGCCATTAACCCCAGCCTTGCTGTGACCTAATAGGCCTGTTTGCCTGCAGGCCTTGAGGGGCTAGATGATAAATGAGGCCCTCAGATCTCACTAAGCCAGGACGGAGCCATTAAGTGGTCCACAGGAGCCTCCAATACTTGGCTCCTACAGTCACTCACAATTAAGTCCCAGGGGGCCTGGAGTTTAGCATCATTAGCGAACACTTGGCCAGCCTGATCAAAACTGATACATGGATGTCACCAACTCAGAAAGCCTCTGTGATCTTGCAACCCACTCTGCTCCTGGGGCCTTGTGTAGCCTCCAGGACCTCTTTAATAGGCATTCTTTTCTCTCTAGCTCTGGAAGGGGCCCTGCACCGCTCTTCCACCCAGCCTGACAATTCCTCTGACAGTGACTATGACCTGCAAGTGGCTCAGAGACTGTAAGAGGTGAGCCCACCCCTGCCTGGTGCTTGGCACCCAGCCCAGGGGCCCAGCATCTCCCCTGCCCATAATGGACACAGGCCCCTAGCATCTTCTTCACATAAAGGGGGAGAGTGAACCAGGTCTGTCACCCCCGCACTTAGGAGGTGGCGTTACAAGGTTTAAGGTGAACCTAGTCTACATAGCTGGTTCCAGGCCAGCTAGAGATGCATAGCAAGTCTGTCTCAAAAAATAAAAAAATTAAATAAACCTGCCCACCCAACACCCCCCACACATACGTGTGCATGCCAAATCTTTGCTGATGACGCCACCCAGGAAAACTGCAGAAGAATCATTAATCTTAAGGCCATCCTATAAAGGTGCATCATGAACAGCCACTGTTCTAATATACCTAAGAGAGCTGGGAAGTAGAGCAGTGGCTTATAAGCAGGAGGGCCTAAACCCATTTAAAAAAAAAAAAAAAAAAACAAGCTGCACTTGGGTGTCATGGCTTGCACTTGGAAATCCCAGCTGCGGTGTAATGGGAGAGAGACAGACCATGTAAGTTTGCTAGCTTAGCTTTGTGGCAAGGTTCCGGGCCAGTGGCGGACCCTGTCTCCAACAGAAAGTAGAAGAGGCCTCCAGATGTCTAAGGCTGTTCTCTGAACTCCACATGCAAGTGCACGTGTGTGCACTCCCGTAACAGATATGCTCAGACAGACAGACAGACAGACAGACCGCTAAGGGTTCAGGAGAAGTCACGCCTGCAAGCGCACACACGTGTGGACTGCCCCCGTAACACACCCCTGAGAATGCATGAGATCATACCCTTCAACTCCACTATGCCTCCAGCAAGAACTCCGGAGCACCAGGCAGCAGCTTCCCCAAACTGAGCCCAAAGCAAGGCCCCATCTCCCACTTCTCTGGTTCTCCTCCACGGTGCCAGTGTCTATGCTCTGACATGCCTCCTTTTCACCTCATAGAACTTGGGACCAAAAGGCTAAGCACATCCTCTCTGTCCTGAGGAAGCATTCGCCACTTGGAGAGCTGCCCATTTCCATCTCGGCCAGAACTTGGGCAGATGCCGAGGTCCTTTGGAAACGATCCTGGGCCCTGCAGGGGCACGCCAGCTCCTATGCCCCCTAAGCCAGGACAGCCTGGCTGCTTCCTCCAAAAGCCAACACTCAAAAGACAGACCTACAAGCAACCAACCCTTGCAAGCAGAGACTCCATCTCTGAGGCGCCCCCATCCTTGAGGAGCAGTGACCAGTGGGGTTGGCTTTCTCCTTGGACTCTTGACGCCATGAGAGAATGATGAGGCAGTGCTCACCTGCATGGGAGCTTCTTTCTCGAGTGTATTTTTTAATATATTCCTTGTAAATAATGTTTTTTCTACTTCCCAAGAACTGGAGTATTCCAGCCTGTTGTGTCCCAAGCCTACCCTCCAGACCCTTCTGATGAGACCATAGTCACAGGCTTCACACCGAGCCAAGGAGAGGCTCATTTTCCCTGCCTTCCACCTTCCACATCCCTCATCCAAAGACACCTCAGCCTCCAGATTGCAAGGCCTGCTGGCTGGCAAGGGCACTGGTACTCTGCTCCCATCAGAGCCCAGAATAAAGGGATACCCAGCCAACCCTCTCCCATTAGACTTTTACTCCTCACAAGTTAGAAATCTCCAGCGCAATACTTTCAGCTAACCTTTAATAAAACTGAGGAGCTGGGGGATGGGCTGCGTATGTTCTGGGGTCTAAACAATCCTCAACTAAGACAGTTTCCTAAACCATTCAGATACCCCTGACTCTCAGGGAGAGGGAAGGCATCTGCCCAGGAGCCTCCCTCCCTCCACCCCAAGTCTAACCCAGAAATAAGCTATGCCTTGGCTATAAAGCCTTCAGACACAGTTTTCCATGACCTACCCATAGCAACCAACTCTGGGAAAGTAACAGAGAATCACTAGAAGGAAGGGGTATGGGAAGAGGAGGACCAGAGAATCAGAGAGCTAGGGTCGCCATTGTTCTAGAAAGGTCTGCTCAGTACTCTGCCCTTCTTACAACACCCCCTCCCCACCCAGGCCTTGCTTCTTCTAATTTCTAGTTGTGTGTCTATGGAATGTCTTTGTGTGGGAATGTGCAGGGTGAGAGCCCCTGAAGCTGGAGTGTCACCTCAAACGGGTGCTGGGAAAGTGACCTCTGGTCATCTGCAAGAACAGTATTCACTCTAAATCACCGAGCCATCTCTCCAGCCCTAGGTCTCAGCTCTAATAGCACACATCCCCCTTATCTGCCACTAGGAACCTAGGAGCAGGGTCTACCACTTGCCTGCTCATACCTAATAGGATAAGGGGACCCATGAAAGGGAGCTAAGATGTTGATACTGGAAGGAAGCAGGATCCAAGGCAGCCATTGCCTCCTGTAGGTGTCTTCCTTATAAAAACTCTTTAGCTCTCTGAAGCCTACCAGTGGCTTCAAAGCTTCCACGGCCTATTTAACAGGAAAATATGCACACCACAAAGTTTAGTGGAAAGGGGATCTTTAGAAAACTGCTTGTGGAGCTAGAGAGATAATTCAGTCAGCAAAATGCTTGTCATGCAATCATGAGGACCTGAGTTCAGACCCCTGGCACTGGCATAAAAAGCTGGCATTGCAGCAAGCACCTGAAATCCCAGTACTTGGGAGGCAGAAACAGGCAGACCAACCCCTGGAGCTCCCTGGACAGCTGGCCTACCTCAATCAGTGAACTCAGGTTCAGTGAAAGATCCTGCCTCAAAAACATACGGTGGTTTCTTTAGCCACCTTATGTTTTTGAGGCAGGATCTTTCTCTGGCTAAAATGCTCAATCCCTACCCAGAAAGGCAAAGAGGATGGACATCAGAAGAAGGAGAAAACAGGAAACAAGTTAGGAGCCTCCCACAGAGGGCCTCTGAAAGGCTCTGCCCTGCAGACTATCAAAGCAGATGCTGAGACTCATGGCCAACCTTTGGGCAGAGTGCAGGGAATCTTAGGAAAGAAGTGGGAAATACTAAGATCTGGAGAAGACAGGAGCTCTACAAGGAGAGCAACAGAACCAAAAAATATGAGCACAGGGGTCTTTCCTGAGACTGATACTCCAACCAAGTACCATGCATAGAGATAACCTAGAACCCCTGCACAGATATAGCCCATGGCAGTTCAGTGTCCAAGTGGGTTCCATAGTAATAGGAACAGGGACTGTCTCTGACATGAACTGATTGGCCTGCTCTTTGATCACCTCCCCCTGAGGGGGGAGCAGCCTTACCAGACCACAGAGAAAGACAATGCAGCCACTCCTGATGAGACCTGATAGACTAGGATCAGAAGGAAGGAGAAGAAGACCTCCCCTATCAGTGAACTTGGGGAGGGGCATGCGTGGAGAAGGGGAAAGAAAGGAGGGGTTGGGAGGAGAGAAAGGAGGGAGCTACAGGGGGGATAAAAAGTGAATAAAGTGTAATTAATAAAAAATTAAAAAAAAAAAAAGAAACCTGAAAAAAAAAACAAAAACATAAGGTGGAGAAGGGCTGAGGAAAACTGGTAAGTTCTGGTCTCCATATAGGAACACACATAAAACTCTCAAGCTGTGTAGGCCTGAAAGACATGTCGCCCTGAAAGACTCGCCTGGTGACACAATTTCAGTCCTTATGGCTCTTGTCAAGGTCTAGCTACCCCACCCCCACTCCCCAGTCCCCAAGCCAGCACTGTCCCCTACTGGGAGGTTCATGGCACACATCTCTCTTGGCCACTAAGGTTACCCTGTTGTGACCTGGGCTGTCTTAGGGTCTCCATTCTACATCACTGGAGCAGAGTAGGAAGTGACCCTCCCATTCCTGGGACCCTACCTTCCCTATCACTGGCCAACCTTTGAAGGCATGTATGGACAAGCCAAGTGCACTGCATCCTCACAGCGGCCAAAGGGGCAGAAGGCCCGGCAGGAAGCTCCCTTAGACAACAATCCCTGCCTCAGAGCTGGAAGGACACTTCAGAGCTCTTCCCAGCCAGTAGTCTCTAAGCTAGATCTCGTCCAGGCCCATTCTGTACCCAGGGCCCATCACTGCTGAAGTACAGCAAGAGATCCTGTAAATATTCACAGGAGGTAGGAGGGTCTGTGAGTGCGTGCAGCCATCTTAGCAATGCAGTGGGAAGGAAGGAAAAGAGAGGCAGGGTGCCTCGCACAGTGACCAGACCACGTGGCTTTCTAAGTCAAAGTTGGCCCTGTGTCCTGCCCCCACCCCCTGCCTGGTATAACCCAAGGCAGGTGACTAAACTGCTGCAGTAAGATCTGCAACTTATTCCCAAAAGCTGTCATCATCTGACTGACAGCTCGTGTGCCCAGCCCTGCTCCTGCCAAGTAAACTCAAGTACAGCTGGGAATGAAAGGCAATAAGCATCCAACTGCATTGGGGGCTCTTGGGTGTGTCCAGGGACTTCTAAGCACCACAGAGTCACGGTGCAGGAACCCTGCAGCCCTGGGATTCTATGGATCAAAACCCAAGTCCTACCTCCATGTACAGCCTGGTCACCGCACGACTTCCACGGTCTCCCTCCTGTTTAAACCTGGGACTGGGAGGGCCAGGGCAGCTATGGAGACACATGCCACAACCCTGGTGACTCCTAGAACCTCTGGCCATCTGCCATAGGCAACATACCTCTATGACTCTTCCAGGAAGAAAAGGCTGAGAGCTGAATAGAGGAACTGCCAGGAACCTTGTCTCCCTCATCCTCCTAGGCTCCAGGATAACCACCCTGCAACAGCGCCTGGTGGAATGCAGCCAGCCCACAGCAAGCTCCCTGTCCCAGAGACAGACTAACATCCCCTGACCCAGACTCTGCAATCCCTGTTTAGAAAAGGCTAAGACCACAGTGAGGCTGACCAGGTGACAAGAACCCTTACCTCCCAACCTGGACTGGGGCACGGGTGCCCCCTGGTGGAACTGAGGGGCCATGCATGTAGCTGAGGACAAAGCAAGCATTGTAGACTCCAAGAAACAGCTGAGGAAAACCACAAAGAAAATGCTAGAAAGAGCTGAGCTCTAGGGAGAAGTGGGATGGCAGTGGGTGACTCAAGAGGTGGCCATAGACGTAAGGCACCCTGTAGACGAAGGCTGCAGAAGTCACTGCCCCACAAGCAGCCACATCTGCTCTCTAACTCATCAGAGCCACCACACAGCACGGAACTCATCAACGTTTATTATGGCAATTACACAAACAAACGGGTGGTCATCATCCAGTTCAGCAGCAGTCAGCCACAGACTCCATTAGTGATTCATTATAAATAACTCAGGAGAAGCAAGCAGAGTTGGTAATGCATCCGTGGCCTGTGGGCGGGGTGGCACCAGAAGATGGGGTTCCTCCTTGACCCCCAGCACCTTAGCCCACTTAGAGGCTGGGTACCCAAGCAGGGGATATTTCAAGGCACATACAACTTCCTAACCCGTAGCAGCTTCAAGGTCCATCCTGAGACCTGGTTCACATCTGGCCCATCCACACTGATGCATCGTCCCCTGAAATCCCTTTGGTATAGTGTAATCACTTTTATTACTAAACAGGCTTCAGCCCCTTTGAGTGCTGGGGCTGCACTCACAGTCCCTACCCTTTACGTTCTAAAGACGAGAGTGTAGAGAAACCAACCCCCATGTAGTGATGAGATCTGGGAAGCACCATTGGGACCTTCTGGAAGGGCAGGCCTGGTGTCTGTTCTGCAGGGACACTGGGGCAGGGAGGAGTTACACGAGGGCAGAGGGGCTGCTAGCGAATGAGACTCAAGGCACTAAAAGGAGTGGATAGATGAACCTCAGAAAAAGCCAGCCAGAAGTGGAGGATCCAGGAGTGAGAAGTGGCTGGGAGGTAAACCTGGTCCTCCACTCCAGCCAGGGGCTCCAGGGTGACGCCTAGGACAGCCAAGCATAAAATTGAGGCCTGGGTTTCCCTTAGCATTCCTCATACCAGTGCTGCTGTGAATCCAACCACCAAAAAGGACACATTTGCCTGACATTGGCACGCAGCTAAATTATGGCTATTAGGACTCATAGTCCCTGTTTTTCCTAACCATTCTTTCCTCTGACCCAACTGTGGTAACTTAGACCATCCTTAAATGGACAGAGCTATGTCGCTTGGCAAGTGGCTCCACACGAGACATGCCAAGTTCCAAGGGAGAGCCTGGATGAGCAGGGTCTAAGACCCGGGGCCAACCTGCTACCAAGGTCACTCTGCACTGGTTCAGCTGTCAGCGAGCAAGCGCAGGCAGCTGTGCAAAGACATGAACACGCTTGCTCATGCAGACACCGGAGAGCCCTGGGCTCCCACCAGGCCACCTCAGGATGTGCTGAGCTGTTCCCTGGCAGAAGGAGCTCCCAGAAGGACCCATGCCACACTGTCCAGGGCCTTTCAGGGGGCCTGTGTGTTCCCAACTCTGCACAGAGCATCAGCTCCACTTCCAGTGTTAACCTCGAATCTCAGCAAATGGAGGCCAAAGGCTACGGTGCAGGACGAAGGAAGAAGGTGGACAGGGACCAGAGCTAATATCTAGGCCAGGCAGGCCCTGGAGGGTGAAAGCCATAAGGAGGGGTTGGCCCGGTAGGGTATGGAGCTTGAGGGGGCACTGGAGGCTGGGGCTGTCCTGGGAAGCCTGGCAGCTGAGGTTGTGTTGGATAGGGAGGTTTGCTTCCTGATGAGAGGTAGGGGGACTGCTGGGGGTAACCAGGACCAGGAGTTCGGCCCCCAACTAAGGGATATCCTGGACCAGGGGTGCTAGTTGGAGCCACAGGATAGCCAGGCTGGGGTGGCACACTCCTCTGTGGGGACCAAGAGTAGCCCATAGTGGTCCTTGGTCCTGGCTGAGGTGATGGGTAGGAAGGACCCAGAGGCCCACCATAGGAGGAAGGCTGAGCCACTACAGGGAAGGGGGCTGGCTGCAGGGCTCCCTGGGCTGTAGGGCCCACAGGCAAGCCTGGGGATGGGCTGTAGGGCAAAGGGTAGGGAGTCACAACAGAGGACTGCGGAGGCTGTTCTTCAGTCGCAGGGGGTGTCGCCTGGGGTGCTGGGCGAGGGGGCGGCGGGCGCTTTGGAGGGGCATCTCCGGCCAGCTCTGTCAAAGCACGGGGCCGCCTCACCACATCCTGAAGCTTCTCTACACGGACTCGGCGCAGGTGCAGCAGTGTCCTCATGGAGGAAAAGGACTCTAAGAACGTTTCCAAGGGCACCTCACCCTCCAGGAACTTCTCAGCCATGGCCTAGAGGACACAAGAACTGTTGACAACACAGGAACAGAGGCCTTCCACAGCCTTCCCTGGCCACCATTCAGAGTGACATTAAGGAATGTCAGCTACTTAATGGCGGGACCACGTCTTCCATGGTCGCACTGCCCCTTACCCAGCGCTGTGCCAGGCCCTGGTGGTCACTGCAAGTCTGTTCAACAGCTGGGTCTATACAAGTGCCTTAGATGCTGGCCCCTGGGCTGCATCTAAAACACAAAAAAGTTCCTGCCCACTGAGACAAAAGGCACATCCACAGGGAGGACACAGCAGAAAGAGCCAAGGAGCATGGGCCTAGCTCTGTACCACCACCCACCCAGGTGTGCGTGCTTCCTGGGGCCTGCTGTCAGTCACCCGTCCTGACTCACCTGGGGTCCTGGTACAGTAAAGGCCCCTTAACCACCGTTTCAGGTACTAGAGGGCTTCTATTGCAAACACATTGCATGAAAAATTCTAGACATAATCTGTAAGTTTTAAGTAACTTTCATTATAAAATACTTTATTGCTGTTCATGTGTATGTACGTCTGCATGTGCGAATACACATATGTGTGGGTGAACATGCACATGTGTGCATGTGGAGGCGAGAGGCCAGCCTCGGGTATCATTCCTCAGGCACTGTTCACCTTATTTCCTGAGACAGAATCTGTGCTATAGGCTCAGCAGTTGAGCTAGACTGCTCCCAGAACCCCAGGGATCTGTACCACCTTGCCTGGCTTTTTATACAGGTGCAAGGATCACACTCAGGTTGGCATGCTTGTGAAGGCTGGCTTACCACCCCAGCCGGTGGTTACTGTTCTTAATCTCTCGCTGAGCCTGCTTTATAAATTATAGATTACCATAGACATACATGTACCAGAAAAACAGTACTGTCTATTCAGAAGCAAGTGCTAACTATGGTTTCACGTGCTCAGGGATCTCACAATGTGTCGCTATAGTGTATTGCAACCAAAGTGTGTCCACTAGGACTCCACAGGCCATCTATTCTAGCTTCATCCCAAACCCTTGAGCTCTGTGGTTCCTGAGCTCACCATGAGACCTGGCTCCAGGGGCCACTACCCTGTCCAAGGGATTAGGATGCCACTCCCCACCTCACCTCAGACTCCTCCTCAATCTTCATCCCTTCAATCTGCAGAAGGTCCAACAAGGTGGCGGGCTGCAGTGCTGAGGAAAATTTCTCTGGAACAAAGGCAGAGAGGTTGATATTTCAAAAGTACTGTTTTATTTAAAGCTAAGGACCCTGATTTCAGCAAAGGTCCATAGCATGCCCTCTGTGAGCACTCAGGGCCTCGTCACACCAGGTCCACTGTAGAGTCCCTGCAGATGACTCTGTGAGCTACCGGGGCCTAGTCACACCAGCGTCCACTGTAGACTTCCCACAGGTGGTTCTGCAGGGTCCTTTAGGTTCATGAAGGCATTCACTGTCTTGAGTAAAGAGAAGCTCAAGGACAGAGCTCAGGTGTTGGCCAAGCAGCTCCCCACAGGCATAGCCATCCAGGAAGCCTTCCTACCTGCACAAGGCCTAGACCAGCTCTGCCAAGGCTCAGGGTTAAGTTGGCAGAGGCAGCGAAAGACACTGGCTGCCTAGATTCAAATCCCAGTTCCAGGGCTGAAGAGATGCTTGCCTGTTAAAGGCTAGGCTTGCAAATCCCAGCTCTACCCAACTTGAATCTCCCCAGCCTTGTTTTCCCCATCTATAAAAATAGTAAATTCAGGCCATTTTTAATACTATAAAAATATTTCCAAGATATATAATAAAATATAAACACTCAAAAGTTTAGACTAACCATAGTACCTACACTTTTCCATCCTTTTGTGTAAAGAAAAAATGCTAAGCACTTTACGCAGGACGTGGAGCAAGTGGGCTATAGTGGCTGCTGGCCCTTTCCTGTCCGGGGCATCTATGCATTCATGCTCTTCCAGCTGCCTCCCTGTCCTCCCTTCAACAGGAACGCTCAGCAGGTGAGATGGCCAGAGTGCATGTCCATAGTCAGCTGTTCCTACCCAGCTTGGCTTTCTGCTCCTGGCACCGCTCCACAAGCTTCCGCAGCTCCTGGTATTTGTCTGAAAGGTTAGAGCGGCTGATTTCCAGGGGGCCTTGGAACTCCAGGTTCTGCTCTGCCAGGCTCCGGTTGGTGGCCAATGCCATCTCTCGTTCTAACTGCAGGTCCTGAACCTAAGGAAAGCGGGACAACTGACAATAAGCACACTGTCACTGGTTATCCTTCGGGGGGGGGGGGGGGCCCCTGTCCTCACTGTACTCACTGCTCACCTGGCGACACCCAGCTGGCTGCTCAGCCCTCAACCACAGCCACAGGAGTTTAAACTCTGCACAGGCACTGTGACCCAGGTGCCTCACCTCATCCTCATCAAGAGAGCCTGTGAGGCCCACACTGAGGAAACAGGCACCAAGGCTAAGGCTAAGCACCTACCCCAGGCTAACCACCTACCCCAGGCTAATCACCTACCCCAGGCTAACCACCTACCCAAGACTTCCCAAAGCACAAGCACCTGCAGGTGGTTCTGTGTCGTGCCGGGCACAGGTGAGGGAGGAGATCCACTCCTGTGAGAGGGAGGGGACGCAGAGTCCCTCCCCATTGCTGGTTCCAGGCTTTAAAGTGAACACACACAGCATGCATGCATACAAGAGGCTGCTAGGGAGAACTCAGGTGGCCCAAGCCAGACCACAAACTAGAAATTCCATGAGGTCCTAAAGATATTGGAGGGGGGAGGCAGGGCAGGGCCCCAGGGCAGCCCAAGACACTGGAGCAGGATAGACATCCCTGCCTCCCAGGTCATACATGGTCTACAGAGCTATAGACAGTCCCCGAATGCCCTCTGCTGAAAACGCTTTCCTAGCCAGCATCCCTGAGCCCTCACTCAGCCCTCTATTTAACTGCCAGGCAGGCAGAAGCCTTGGAATCGTGCCCAGCAGGCCTAATGTGGGAAGGCATCTACTGCCCTGAGAGGAGCTGAAGGCAAGGCCACTGTCCTGTCACAGTACCATGTAGCACCAGCAGAGGGGGCTCAGCACTGGCCACAGAAGTCAGGGCCCAGGTCAGCAAGGCCAGCTTCCGCAGGGAAACAAGGGTCCTGCAACACAGAGCTTCTCCCTCCACCTAGGCCAGTGCATAGCACACCAAGCCAGACTGGCCTCCTCTACAGCAGCCACAGGAAGCCAAGTAGCATCCTGGATAAGGGGTTTCCAGAAGGGCCACTCTGATTCCTGCTCAGGACCTCAAGCCCTGCATTCCACAGCAGGCAGCAGCCTAATGGAAAGAGGGATGTTGCCGTTACCCCTCCACATACAAGGCTCTCAGGGCCCAGGTCTAAAACCCTTCCACCAGGACCGTCTGCTGTCTGGCCAGAAACGCCATTTAACCACTGGCCAAGCTCACTGGCATGGGAGCAGAGAAACTGGTGACTTTGAATGCTATCCAAGGAGGCTGGAGGATGGCTCAGCAATTAAAAACACACACTGCTCATCTAGAGGACCTGAATTTGGTTCCTAGTACCCATGTCAAGTGGCTCACACCTCCTGCCACTTCAGCTCCAAGGGTTCAACGGACTCTTCTGGCCTCCAAAGGCACTGCACCAAACATGCACAAACCCACACACAGACATACCTACACACATAACAAAAACTACAATGTTAAAAAGAAAAAAAAAAAGCCAGGAGACTCATGTGGCCAATTGTGAGTGGGGCCTGCCCTTCCTGGACCACGTACCCTGGGCATCCTTACTTGTCCATGGCTTTTCCTGGGGTCTGAAGCACGGCATCCATGCTGTGCCATCCTCTTCAACGCTTGTCACATTTCCACCTCTCCTATTCTCCAGCCCATCTCTTATGAACACTCCTCTGAGGTCAGTCTACCATTCCCCCGAGCTCAGCGCCCTCACTCTACACAGAGCAACGTTCCCACCGCCTTCCTCTCTGCCGGCTCTTCTCATGCTCCCACAGTGACACAATTACTTCTCACAGCCGCGACAGAAATCCAGCCAAAGACTTCCTGAAAGTCTAAGTAGCTTGCCCTACTTTGCTTCTGTCTTTCCCACAGTGAGTATTTTCCCCCTCAGAGAATTCAACTCAGTTACTCAGACAAGGCTACACCAAAAAGTTCCATCTGCCCTTTGGCCAGGAGACTGCATCCCTTACATTTCCAGGAGCCTATGCTTTTCCACAGGGTGGAAGACTTGCTCAGCTTGAAAGCCGTGAACAGAAGCTGGGTACAGACTCACTTTTGCTGAGCTCCACTCCCTTCAGGAACAAGCCTGGGAATCCCTTTAACATTCTGCTGCTCATCATTGACTGAAGAAACAGTTGGGGCCAACAAGATGGCTCAGTGGGTAAAGGTGCTTGCCGCTAAGGCTGACTGACCTGAGTTTGACCCGTGGGCCCCAAATGGTAGGAGAGAACCAACTCCCAAAAGTTGTCCTTTGACCTCCACACTGGTGCGGTGGCATATACGCACATCTATGTGTGTGTGCAAGCATCCCTAATCCAGCAACCCCAAATCCAAGATGAAGACCTTTTTCAGTGACACTTTTCATGTTCTGAATTTCAGAGTGTCTCGGATTTTACATTTTTTTTATTAGAATTATTTAACTAGTAAATCTACACAAAACATTTCAAAACCCGAGACATATGAAATCTGAAATACTCTCGTCCAAAGTATCTGGGATGGGTAAGGGACACTTAGATATATGTGACAGATGAATATGCCAGGTAAGACAAGGGTCTGTCAGAGCCCACAGCCTAACCAACTGTAAGAGTCATCCTTGCTGCCTAACCAAGGCCATTTCTCCTAAGACGCTGAACAGGGTCCTCCTGCCTCAGCCACACAAAGACCTGTCCTAACCCCTACCTATGAGGAGGTCTTTCTAGCCCAACCCAGGGTCATCTCCAATCCAGCAGAGAGGCCTGAACAGTGCTGGAGAGCAGGTGGCAGCAGAAAGCACAGCTGAGACAGGCCAGGGCCAGGTGGCATGTGCGCCCGTGCAGCGGGGGCATGGGCAGATGCCAGATGGACACCTTCCTGTTCTCTAACACAGTGACTCATAGAGCACCTGCCACGTCTGCTCACCAGGGAAAGGAGTCCAGCAGTACCTGTGCTCCTTTCTCTCCTCCAAAAAAAGGCAGGGGACAGAGTTTCCAGGCAATGACCAGCCGCAGCTGATCTGGGGGTACCTGTGGTTATTTCTAGCTGGGTGGCCACAGAGTCACCTGACCTCCATCTCACAGGAAGGTCACAGGAGACAGTGACAGGGAGGGCCAAGTCAAGCTCTTCAGAGACAGCAGGGTGGAGCTTATTCCTGTAACTTATTCCTTATTACTGTGACTAGGAACTGAGAAATGGGGTACTAGCAATGGGAAACAGCATGAAACATGAGTGAATGATGTCCCCATGGGGAAAGATGGGCCCCTCTCCCTAGTGCATCAGAGAACTGCCTCGAGATCCACACTGGAACAGTGTGAAGATTCCTGGCCATTTGAGCCTCTGGCTGTCCTCAGCCAAGGTGGACCCTGGACTCCCTATCACTCCCCATGCTCCCAGAGGACCAGGCCCTGGACTCATCACTCCCTGGGCTTCTAAAGGACCCAGGACCTGGCCTGAAACCCCAGGGATCCTCTAGTGAGGTAAAGGCCAAGGTAAAATTCACAGCACAACAAGGTGAATCCTGGCTCAAGAGCCTACTAAGCAAGTATCTTTGGGAAGCAATTATTAGAGAAGTAGATGGGATGGCTCAATGGGTAAGGGCTCTTGCCACCAAGCTGACAACCTGAGTTCAGTCTCTGGAACCCATATGGTAGAAAGAGAGAATCATTTCTTGCAAGTTGTACCTGGTACACAAATGCATGCACATGAATTACCCCTCCCCCCAACACACACACAATAAATAAATATAATGAAAAATTAAAAGACCTTAAATGAGGCTAGAGATATGGCTCAGCAGTTAAAAGTACTGACTGCTCTTGTAGAGGACCAGCGTTCAGTTCCTAGCATCCACATGGCAGCTCACAGTAACTCCAGTTCCAGGGGATCTGATATCTTCTGCACACACCTGCATACACCTGGTCCACATATATACATGTGTCAGGCGCACACACACAGAGACATAAAGTAAAATAAATAAATTTGTTGAGGACCTTAAGTGATCAATTACTTTAAAAAAGGAGAGAGAGAGAAGAGAAGAGAAGAAGGAGGAAGATGAAAGAGAAGAGAAAGGAGGAACAGCAACAGCAGCAGGATTACTGGCCTCTCTGTACCTCAGGAGACTCCAAGGCCATCCGAGCAATGGCTTCTGGATCATTCTGCATCTCCTCCAGCTCCTGCAGGGTCTTGTCTTTCAGCCCCTCCATCTTCCCCTGTAAACACAAAACACCCAGTTTGAGAGAAAGTCACTCAGAGTCCCTTTACAGGCGGGCCTAAGGAGACTGGAGTGTCCCTATAAACACATTCCTCGAGCCCCAGCCATTTCCCCCAAAAAACCCTGAGACTGATGGAAAACTGTGCAAGCTTCTTGGCAGCCAAAGCATGAGAGGGCATGGAGCTGACAGGAAAAGGCGAGGGAGAGGCCAGGCTGCAGGGACAAACTAAAGTTGGCCCCAGGCCTTGGTACGTGACCACTTTTGTCTGAACCTGATTTAAACAACCCTTCTCCCCATGCATACCCCCACCACAGGGCCTTACAGGCCTCAGCACCATAGGCCCAATTATGTCCCTGCTTGTTACATTTAGTGTTCTGGTAACCTCGGGTCTCCCTAAGTATTCTGCAACTGCAGCCCTCTCCACGTGTCATAGAAGCAAACTGTCACATCTATGTCCTCACTGGAACAGAAAAAATAATAATAATCAAATCACCTTCAAGGGCAGTCAGAAGAGAAAGAAACCAACGGACTCAGAGAGAAGGTTGCTCTAACAGGGCAAGAGTCAGCAGCCTCCCTCTGTCACTGTCCCAAAGGCCATTGGTCATCTGTGTGACAAGTCACAGCCAGGCCTGGGGGGCAGCCAGATAGAAGCAAACACACCAGGAACCTCCTTTGCCAGAACCTCCCATGCTTATGTCTTCTTATCCTTCCTAATTGTGTGTTTTAGAGCATTCGTGTTGAATGTTCTCATCATAAAGGCTGCTTGTTTCCAGAATTTGTATAGTTCCTTGATCTGCAAAGATCAAGGGTCCTCTACCCTCATTAGAGCTTGCCTGGGGGTCATGCTGATGACTCAGCCAAGAAGGCATTTGGGAACTAAGAGCCAAGGTGACAGACAGAAGTCCCCTTCTCTGGGCCTAAGTTTCACCATCTGTAATGGGAAAGGAGTGGCATCCCTAGGTGAAGGGAGAAAGTAATGAGCAATGATGACAATCTCCCCTTGCCAAGAAGGCCCTCATCCTGGTTTAGGCCTGACCTGTCTCCTTGCATGTTCTAAGTGTCCTGCTTTAAAGAACAAATGACACTACTATCTGCTAATGAAGAGCTACTTAAGTGGGTAGCACCACTAGCCAGCATCTCCTGAGGGCTTCACAGTGCCCAGCCTCTAGGTAAGCTTGGCTATGCATCATGAGGTAAGCACCCACCCCATCCAGGCCTCAGCACCAGAAGGCTGGGACAGAGCCCAGAAACTCACAGTCCATCCTGGGAACAAGGATGCAGCTAAGAGAGGATAACTCCACACTTGTTACATCATGCCGGAGGCAACCACATCATGCTACAGTATGACCTACACTGTCTCGCCCAGGCACCTGGATTCCAGACTTATGCAAATTCTTGGCCTGCTGACCTGTAATTCCAGTGCTCTCAAGATAAGAGTCAAGGGATCTAAGAGCCAACTGACCAGCCAGACTAGCCCTCAGTGGTAAGCTCTGGGTTAAACAAAGAGACTGCCACAAAAGTGAGTTAGAGAGTGATAAAGAACACTTTCAGCATCAGCCCTGGACTGACACCTCCATATGTAAGCATGCTCATGTGCACACGTATGAACAGTCATACCACACACTCAAATACATGAGAGAGAGGAAGGGAATTTGTATAGAGAAATTCTTCATAATGAAAAGACCCAAAAGGAAAGAAATCAAACCAAACCCTGCACTGAAACTATACCTCAGATTGCTTTCTCAAAACCCAGGGTCTAGAAACCAGAACAGAGCAGAGGCCCTGTGTTGGACCAGAGCTCTGAGGAGAAACAATATTGTTCCACCAAAATCTAACAGGAACAGCACTTTAAAGATCCTGAGTCTCAACAGGAATGGTGGGACATGCCCATAGTTCCAGCACTTGAAATATGGACATCAGGAGATCTATGAGCTCTGCCTCAAAAAGAAAAAAAAAAAAAAAATCACAAAAGGGCTGAGACTGTAGTTCAGTTTGTAGAGTGCCTGTTGCACATACATATAGCCCTGGGTTCCATCCCAGCACAGTATAAAGCCAAGCATGGTAATGCGAACATCGAAATCTCAGTATTGCAGAGAAGTAGAAGCCAGAGGATCAACAGTTCAAGGCCAACATAAGTTACATAGTAAGTTCAAATCCAGTCGCAAACACTTAAAAGACTTGAAGACACCCAGACACATGGAGTACAGGCTTAGTAACACAGACCTAACCCATAACCAGTTCTGCCCCCTTGTCAACTATGTCCTCACACCAGTGGAAGTTCTGGAGCCTCTGGGTCTTCATCTGAGATGGGCCAAATGGCAGAACCTCCCTCACAGGCTCAGTGACACAAGAGTTCAGCACAATAACAAATGCTGGCCAAAGATTTCAACTGCACTGAAATTATGCAGGACCACACTGGCCTCCAGAGAGGCTCAGCCAAGAACTTGCTGGGCTCCAGGGGCAGCACTTAGTGCAGCCCCACCCCCAAGCCCAGTGCCTGCTGCTCTTGCAGTCAGGGCCAAGTGCAGCAGGCACTGGTGGCCTGGTAGGATGGGAGCTGACTAACCACACACAAACAGCTGGTCAGCAGTGCCACATGTAGCAACCCCAGCAGGGCCAGGATCTCTCCCCACAGAGGTCCATTCAGTAAGCCCTGACAGAGCTGACAGTCCCTACGGCAGTCTTGCGAGGTTTTCCTTTGACATACTTGCTCCGCCCTGGGGATGTGATGAAGACCAAGCCTAAAACGAAAAGATCAAAGAGATCGCAAGCCCACAAAAGCAGTGCATGTTACCGTGATGGCTGCTGTTCCTGTCTCTTGGCTAGTGGTGGCTCACAGCAGCAGCAGCAGCAGCAGCAGCAGCACATCCCTGGTCCAGCAGGCTTTTCTGTGAGAATTCTCACAGCATCACCCACTGAATGTTCCAGGGGCTGGTTTCTCACAAGTCAGTTATCACCTGCTTTTCAGAGCCACCCAGAGGCTGAAAGCAGGCCACCATTTGGAAAGGGTGAGAAGGAAAAGTACTGAGCCCAGGGCCCACGAAGCAGCTACCTAAAACTGTGGCCCTACGGCCTGGGCCTCTGCTTCTATCAACTTCTAACTCCCACCAAAAGCCAATATGGTAGATAGAGTGACCAAAACCCCCAGGGTGTCACAGGGGAGGGAAGCAGGAGTTAATGATACATTATTTAGGGACCAAGTCCTTAGGCTTTTGTTTCTAGAGGGCTGGCAAGTCCAATTTCCTCAGGCCTTGATGCGTGGGCTCTGACACAGACTTCCCCTCCCATTACCACTATGGCATCAAGAAGATGGCTGATTCCCTGAGGACAGGGGAGTGGGCTGCTAGGGGAGGAGAACTGGTGGTGATGTGAAATGGGCAGGGTTCTGGGCATTCATCTTTGTCTTCCCAGTACCTGGCACAGACCTGCTCAGAGGCAATTCAGAAATAGCCAAGCAAGGGTGGAGGAAGAAAGTCACTAGGCCATCCAGATGATGGACAAGTTCAACAAGGTACAGAGTCAGAACAGCCCATCCTCCCACTCAAGCCTTCCTTCATGTCTTCATGCCTTTACGGAACAGGCATCTATTGAGCAATTACCATATGCCAAGGCCCATGCTGTCCCACATCATGGGGTGGAAGGAAGTACATAAACATGTTGAATTTTATGAGCCTGGCCCAGTAGACACATTAAAAAAGTAAAACAAAAAAAACCTTCCTTCTTCCTCTTATGGAACTCAGTTGTTTCTCAAACCTTTTTAAAAGCCATAAGTCAAAATGAACACAGGTGAAGGAGTGGCATAAGGTGTGGACCAGTGAAGAAGACAATGGCAAGGAGGCAGGAAGGACAGCTCAGAGCAGCAAAGGCCAGAGAGGGTCCGTGCTGGGAGGGTCCTGTGGGAGCCACTGCAGATCCAGGAGGGGAGCTGGTGGCTAGGGAGGCAGCTGCACAGCGCCACAGGTACAGCAGGGTAACAGCTCTTATGGAGGTGACACTGACACCTCAGAGGTGATCAAACTGCCAGTGAGGCGGGAAAGTAACACCCCAGGAGCCAGGCTGGCCTTTTCTTCACAGTAGGAGTTGAAAATGGGTTCCTGTTCCCTGCACTGAGAAGCGAAAGGCCTCGACTTTGTTTCTTCCCATCCCCCCAATCCTATCCCTGCCTTTTTTTTTTTTTTCACCTTCACTAGAGGTCACAAATACAACCATGTGTGAAGGCCAGGCCCACAAGTCAGAGGCCAAGCATGGAATGAAGACCATGAACCCCATGGACCCTAGCCCCACACCAGACCCTCCTGCAGGAGAGAGTGATGGCGGTGCCAGGCCTGCCAGCTCCCCCGAAAAGCTACAAGGCCAAGTTTAGATGCACGGCCCCATTTGGAGTGGGCCACAGAACCCAGGGGCTGTGGTCTGAAGCCTAAAATTGACACCATGCCCTTTGGTGACTGTGTACATGGGGGTGACAGGTCATAGAAAAGCAGAGGGATGGGAGGAGGAAGACCCAAGCCAAGTCTGATGCTCTGAGTGGGGACAGAATGGGGACAAGTGAAGAACTCCCTACCAGAAGGCTGCACTTCCTGGCCTTGGTCTTGTAGTCTGTGGCTGGCCACTGGCCCTGTTGCTAGTTTCAGCCTCCTTTCATGACTCCGTATCTTGACAAAACCATTCCACATGCCTTAACAACAGCAGCACAATATGACCCAGATAGTGAGGCCATAAGCCAGATTAGGGCCAGTGGATTTAGGCCAAATGGAGTGTTATTTCTGGCCACACCCCAGCAGAGGCAACTGAACAACTGCTCAGGGCGAATGCACAGGAGTGCTGGGTGAGCTCAAGAGATCTGTTCCCAACAGCAACAACACACGACACTTGTGGGCCTCACTCCAGGCGCTCCGGTGACTGACTGCTCTGCACAAAAACATAGCTGGGAACAACCTGAGGTCCTTTCCTGAACAAGTTAAAAGAGGGAAACCAAAACACACCATGCAGGCCATGCA